CGAGGAGTAGGGAAGAACCCCAAACACCTTTCCTGTGGAAGGAGAGCACCCTGGCCTGGTTTGGGCTGTGCTGACCTCAGGACCAGGCCAGGGGGTCTGAGAAGGGAGGGAAAGGAACACAGGCCTCCAGCTCACCCCCATCAGTATTCAATCTACCAGGGAGAGTAAAATATTTTAACTGGTTTGATTGGCACAGGCGTTTGTGGTTCTAGATCTTTAAATGATAAGATCGTGATGAATCATATTATAATGGAATAGCCCTTAGCTAAGGGTCAAACATTATAAAGAAATGATGTGCTATATTAAAGTGTTCCTACATTTCTCATATACCATGTTCCACTCTTGGTTTTGTTCCACTATTTTCATGGTTAAGGCAGAGTGAGAGAACTATTTTAATGGAATTTGGTATAACCTATAATTGCTTGATTGAAACTTGTTCTATAACCTTCATGCTCAAATCAAGTTATTTTCTCCTATCATTTCTTTTCTTTTTTTTTTGCAGTTTTTGGCTGGGGCCAGGTTTGAACCCGCTACCTCCAGTATATGGGGCCGGCGCCTTACTCCTTTAAGACACAGGCACCACCCACCTAAAATTTCTTAATGTTAGAAAGTATAACATTGTTTTAAAAAAAATCAATGTGGCCTTCAGGTGAGGACTGCAATTATACGTAAAGTTACTGTCAGTTTAAAGCTGGAGAGTCCATGTAACAGAGCAGCTCACCATGAGCTTCTGGTGCTGCGAGAACTGCCTCCAAACTGCCTTCTCCAAAATGGCTGTGCAGCACATACGTATGGTCTGAGTCATTTCTATATTAGGGATTTTCAGTAACAAGTGAGATTTTGCGGCTCACAGTTCCCAATAGTTTGGCTTAGATGTCCAGTTATTTAATTGAAGGCTTTTTCTATTCAAAATCTTTCATCCATACCATTTAATCAAATGCTGGAAAGTCCTTTTTGGAAACTGTTGGGCCATGGAATTCATAAAAATGTCATATTTTTCTCTGCAATTCAGTATGGTCAGGATGCTGCCTCTGTGCTGTTTATCCTCCACTTCCCAGTACTGTTTCTTCCCATTAGCTTCTTTCTTTTTTTTTTTAAGAGACAGAATCTCACTCTGTTACCCAGGTTTGAGTGCAGTGGTGTGACCATACTCACTATTAACCCCCCTCCCCCAGGTTTGAGTGCAGTGGTGTGATCATACTCACTATAAACCACCCCCCCAGGTTTGAGTGCAGTGGTGTGATCATACTCACTATAAAGCCCCCCCAGGTTTGAGTGCAGTGGTGTG